TGTGTAAAACTATCTAAAAAGAGTGTTGAAGTATATAGGGTAGAAATTCACATTCCCCTGTTATAGACCTTGACAGATGTTATTAATATACAATCATAGATTGAATATCAATAACACTTCATTATAATATATGAACTACTTTTTTATTATATTTCTGAAGAATTAAATTAAAGTATGGCGAAGAAATATATCTCAAAATAGATCGAATAAAATAATCTCTTTGTGATTAACAACAACAGTTACATTGTATTTCATATTGTAATCCAGTAAGGATTGCACTAACAGTTGTTGTTTTGAATGCGACACAATAAATTGTTCTATCAATGATGATATTACAAAGTAGTATTACTCAATATAAGTCAGAAGTACTTTCTCATTAATAGTGGAATATTATCCTAGCTGATCAAATTATGAAGATAATCAATCAAGTTTTTAGTAGAATAACTTCAATATATTCTATCTGTTTTATTTTACTAAAAAAAAGTTGTCAGATTATGTTTTCGAATCATGTTATCATATTTTATGTGTCATTTGTTCAAAAATAATTTTCAATTTCTATCGATATTTAATGTTGTCATGATAAATTCGACGAAAATACTCAAATTCTAATTTTTAGATTATAAGAAATAAAATAAAATTAATTGTTTTTTTTTTTAATATTTGATTTATTGTTCGAAATTTTAGTGGGAAAATAGTGTAGTCTGTTCAAATTTATATGAACTGATTCGTTATCTTGATTCACATACTGCTCATGGTTTATTTCCATATAATAAATTAAGTCCACAAGTTAAATCTGTTGAAAATAGTGCAGCTGTTCGACGATATGTATTAAATTTATCAATTTAAAATATATTAAGAAAAAAAAAACATTAGATTTGTTTCTATTCTTTTTCACTACATAGTTTGAACATGTTGGTCATCCATCACATATTTTAACAGATATATTAAATAAAGCATATGCATTACATAAATCATCAACAAAAACAAATGTTAATAACGATGAAAGACATCGAAAGTAATAAAATAAGAGAAAAAGAAAAATATTTTATTATTATTTTTTTTTCAGTGGTCTGCGTATTCTTCGTTATTTAACTGAAATGAGTCGTTTATCAACAGATGCATTTCGTCATTTATTTTTTGATTCTGATGAATATGCTCGTCGAAGTGGTATTGATACAGATAAAGATAAAGAATCAGATGTACAAATGGATGGGATTGGTTTAAGTGAAACAAAACTTCGTAAAAATGAATATGATACTTCACCCATGACAAAAATACTTCGAAAAAAAATTATATTACGATTACAAGATTGGTTTTCATTTATTGAAGTTAAATCACAACGAAATATAACAATGAATTTGTTCGTAGAACAAGAAATTGAGTTTTATATTTGTTTGCTTTCTTTGAAAATAATTATTTTAGTTGCCATAATGAATTTCCTGGTCTTGTTCATTTTGTTTTTGTTGATCGTTTACGTGGAAAAATTTGTACACCAACACTTATTATTGATGATTATCAACGTCAGGCGTTAACAAATACTCATATCAATGAATTTGAATATATTTTAGAAAAAAAAGTTTGAATAGTATCAAAAGATGTTTTCTTATTTATTTTTTTCTTATTTAGATATTGGCATTTGAATTAGAGTGTCTTTCAGAACTTCAGCATGGTTTCACATCATATACAATGTCTGATGAACATTTTACTTATAGTTATACATTACGTTTACAAGAGAGTAATGTATGTTTTACGGAACATTCATAAGGATATGACTAAAACGCTACAAGTATAATGTGAGCTAAATTTATACTGCTTAGCACTATGTCATCTTGATGAACACAACTCTGGAACTATAGTTTGATCTAAATCCGTGTCGCTGCTAAATTACTTTTAATGAAAATGAAGATAAGCACTATGAAGTGTACCAAGTATTCATAGAAATATGATTTTTCATGAGAAGTAATGAAAGAAACTCTGACCCAAGCCGAATGTCTCGATCGAAATTGTTACTTCCCTTAAAATCAAGAAACTTTGCATTTGATAGAAACAAACGCTATTCTTGATTAGGAAATATTTTTGATTTTGAAAATTTTAGCTGAACATTCTTAATACGGATCAGTATAGAAAAGTGAACACTTTTCTCAATTTTAAGTATTTGAATATTAGAAATATTCTTAGAAAAAAGTGAAAATAAGTGTTTCGAAAAGATGAAATTACGTATATTAATTGAATTTAAATACTAGAACGTCAAATTGTACAATTCGAATCAGTGTCGAAAGCAAAGCTTTGAATTTTTAACAAATAAGCATATGACAAAATGTTTTTTGACTCTTAAAATTTGTTTACTTAAATTTCGACTGCTCAAGGTTCATTGATTTAACATGAAGAATCTTGTGATAATGTGAATAAAGTATATTTTGAATCGTTTCATAAATCAGATTGGATTTTTATTATTTATGAAAAACAATTTCAAATTAATGTATGAAAATTAGATTCAAACTGTTCAAATCACTGATTATTAAGAACTCATATTATACAAGATCGTAAACAATCTATTCGTAGCGGTTTCATTTTCAAAGAGATCTATATTATTCAAGATTTCTTTATAAGGCATTATTTTTTTTAAATCTATTAAGAATGTTTTATTTTGTTTGTCACTAATTTAGCATAATTAATTCCTTTTTTGTTAGGGTGCTTCAATGCGACTTTATAAAGCTTTTGTACAATCACAACCGCCTGGTGTCCTACATTTTGATTTCTATAAGTGAGCATTAGTTTATTAGACCTTATTTTAAAGCCTAATACTTGTCTTTTCTTCCTATTAGAGCATTGGCGGATGAGTATTATCCTTGGCTAACTTATCAATCATCAGTGACATGTTTTGAATTGATTTCTGTTCATTTACGGATTGTGCCACCGAGAATTGTGCGTGAACAGTGCGAATATCTGTGGCCAAGGCTAATGGAACTCGATGAATAGACTCAAACACAATGAAATATGTAAAAGGATTAGCATTCAATAAGTGATGTTTTTCAAACAATAAGAAAAAAAAATAATTTCATTTCATGTTTTTATGTTGTTTTCTTTTTAAACAATAAATTTACATTTTTACAACTGAATCAAACAAGAAAACGATGACTGCTACTTTTATAATTGTATTGACTATATTGTTCACTTTTCTTATACGTAAGTTAGTCATAATACAGGATCTTTATTGCTTTTTCTAGAAGTTTTCATTTTGAAACTGAACGTTTTATCTAATAATCATTCGAAACATGTAATTATACTCAGTAGAATAAGGGCCTATTGTCTTCTATTATATGATTTCACATCGCTTCTATAATGGTGACATTCTATTGTGGACTATTTTTTTGCTAATTTTTACTTCGAAAACTAAGAATTTTCGAAAAATTATTGTGGCACTCAAATAGGTGTTTTTAACAATTAATGAAAGAACTACCCGAAGTGGTACCTACCGTTTGAGCCTGTATTGAGTTTACAACAAGATCTCGATAGGGCTAGAAAAATCTTAAAAGGGTCCATACTCATGGGTCTCTAGAACAGAATTATGTCTGTTTTACTGACTTTTCGACCCATCATGAGATATTTACTAACAAATCATATAATGGACTTTCGACATTTTGACAAAGGAACATACTTTTCAGCTAAAACTTTCAGAATATTCTACTAGTCATTTGATCTGTTTATGGGCGAAATTTCAGATCGACATATCGTTGTTTAATTTTTCGGTAAATACTTAAAGCTGGATGGAAAATTCAGTAAAATGATCACCACTTGATCCCGCAGGCCCATGGGCACAAGCCCCTTTAGGGATTTTCTTTGTTCTATCGAGACCTCGTTGTCGTCACAACAGGAGCTCAAACAGAGGGTTTTAGATGCTAGCTCCGTCCAAAAGAAAACCGATAGACTTTCAAAAAAGACTGTTGGAAAACCCATGACCTTCTATTCGGAAATGAAGAGGAAAAAGTTAATTGCGTAAAAACTGCATAGTTGTTATAAGTGACTCATTATATAGGATCAATGATCTCAAAGAAAGTTAGGAAAAGTAATTTCAAATCAAATTCTTTGTGTTGTAAATTAATTGATAACATTTCAATGTTATCAAATTCGAAAAATTCTAAAGGAAGTATAAATGTTTCCTAATTCATACCGAAACACAAACACATTCTTTTTGAATGTACGTAGCGAATGAATTCAAACTGAATTTACTTATATTCAAAGATTTCTTTATATAAGATAAAAATTTCTTCGTTAGTTACATACTGCTATTTTCTTTTAAATATTTTCTACAGAAATCAAACCGGTAAAAACTATTGCTTGCTATACATGTATTGATTGTGACGATCCATTTGATCCTAATTCACCTAATGTTACTCAAAGCTTAGCGTCTTGTTATTATTGTTATGTAAGAAGTTGTTCTATATTATATTATTATTCTTCTTTTTTTTTTATTATATTTGTCTTCATTAGAAATTAACTGTATTTATGGCCTATGCTCCACGTTATATTATTAAAGAATGTGTTCAAACATGTACTTCAACAAATGGTATGTGGGGTGGTTCATCTATTGAAGTAAATTGTTGTGCATCATCATTATGCAACAACGCATCAGGACTATATTTTCAATATGCATGGAAAAATCGATTTTTGTTTACAATAATTTCAAGTCTTTTTATGACTCTTTTATCCATAATATAAGAAAATAATATTTGTATCATTCAATGAAAATATGAAAATATTAATAAACACTTTTTATAACATTTAAAATGATAAGTATAAAAAGCACAATACGAGATATCGATGGAAATGTTATCATTGAGCTTGCATTACAAAGATTTGTAGTACAACAAGTACTTAGAACTGATCCTCCACCAAATGTTTGAGATGTTTCAATACATGCTGGAACACATTTACGAACTACATAACTATAAGGAGCATAAGCAATATTAATTGCCAATTTCTAAAAGGATAAGAAATGAAATAAATAATTTCGAAAAAACTAAAACAAAATATATTCTTAAATATTCTTACATAGCATGAATTACATGATGATAAGACACTGATCGAGTTTGTACTTGTAAATGGATCAGTACAATTCGTGCATTCATAACAACTAACAGTAACAAACTGAGATGAAGTTTTATCTTAAAAAGAAAACAACGAAGAGTTCAGTTAAAATATAATCTTTAATTTGTTTTTTTTTTACTGACCAATACATAATAGAATTATCAAACAGAAAATAATCAAATGAGACCAATATGCATTCAAATTGACCATCGTTTCTTTTTTTGCTTTATTTTTGAATGAATATTAAAGTAGACAAAGGGAACGAAAACGTTTTGGGTGTATGTATGTTTGTGTTTATACAAGTGATTGAATGTCAACAATGCAAGCATTTTATTCTTTAACGATAAGAAAAAGAATTCTAAAAGCTGCATTGCCACTTCATCAATCGACTACAGCAGCTTGTTTTTTACTACCTACGCAATCATTTGAAAGACGATTGTTTTTTTCTAATCTCAAAATAAGAAAATATATATGTTGATCAAAACAATGAAACAGTATTATACTTTTTCTTTTGTCTAGATATTTGACAAAAAATATTTTAATTGTATTTGATGATTGTGATAAGTATTGTTTTAAATCTAATGAAAATGATATTTGGAATGCAAATAATAATTTAAAATATAAAATTAAATATTGATTCGTCATTTATTTATTTCATGAGATTCATCATAAGAATTTTGTTTTGATTGATAATTTATTCCTATTCATTTCTGGCAAGTAAAATTCATTTTTTATATAATAGGTTTTTTTGCATCTAGGAATAATCAATGAATTATAAACAATGCTTAAAATATAAGAATCACATACGTCGCTTGGACAATAGAAAGAATATTATTGTTGTGGTTTTTTTTTTATATAAGAATAGACGTTCATAATGTGACGTGTTATTGATATATAGTGCAATAGCATGAGTATTAGTAACACTAAATGAGATAATTATTTATTAGATCATCATTGTGAAATCTCTACAAGTACTTTGATAACTCGGCAGATAAAGCTTCACGTGATAAAACATATTAAATATTTCAATAATATACTAGCACTTACCGAACCAGTAGTTTTTATTGTTAATGAAAGTATTGTTTGCGAAAACTTTTGTGTTCTCGATGGGCATATTGCTATTAACTTATTGAAGAAGAAAAAGAAAAATGATGTAATGTTGCATTGCGAATAAAGTTCTGTGATTGTGCGATTGATGTTTTTAGTGTTATAGCCTTTGAATTTGTAAAAAAGAAATATATATGTTTCTAAAATTTAATTCTGTTTTACTTTGTTTTCGAATAATATACGATTTAAAAAGTTTTCATTTTTATTGATTTAGAGAATATGAAGAGATCAACATATCTTAAAATACATTCAATCTCTTTTGGCATATGAAATGATGATCATAAAGTATATAAGCTACATATTCTTAATTACTTCGAATACTTAAAATTATATCAAGAAATTTTTAACTTCAATACTTATTTTGATCTGATACATCGCTGATTTATATATTTCTTTAGTTAAATTAGAATCTGAAATATATTTTTCATGTTTATCGCAAAAAAATCTGTTTCTCCTTATATTCATAATTGGATTAATCATATCGAGATAAATGTTCATAGATAAATTCATTTTTATTGTGAAAAATGAATTTGATTTCGTGACAGATTCTCCTACAGAAACCTTTGAGTTTCCTTTAGAGAAATGAGACGATCCTATATCATGGGCAAAGAAAATATCTGTTGTCAGCTTCAACCGGAAGCGGAGCCCTACTCTACAATTTTTTTTCTGACTTCACCACTAATCGGATTTAAGATATTCAATGCATTAATATATTTACCATTAAAACTACATATAATATAATTAATAAAACGAAAGAAATATTTTTTGTACATGTCATCTTGTAAAATAATATTGACTTATTTTGCAACGATTTGAAACTGATTTTAGTTACTAAGTCTCACATATTGCAAAGATCAGTAAAAGATGTGTTTCTCAATTATTTTTTTTTTTAAATTTTTAATCAAAATAAAATTTTATTAATTTTTCTTTTCTTGACAATACGACAATTAAAATCAATGAATGATTTATTCAGAACTTCGGATATACTTCTTAGATTTATAATACCAAGTTAGAAATTAGGTAAAATTCAATATTAAAATAAAAGTATTCATTTTTTTTTATTGACAATACTGCTATATACTAAATTTAAAAGAAAATATTCAATATCTTTTTCTTCTTTGTAAAGGAAAATAAATACATTTTGTAACCTAATATTAAATTTATCGTAAGCTATCGTTTTTGTGGAATTTTACTTAGAGTAATATTTTCCTGTTGATTGGAAATAAAGATATTCTCAAAAATAAGCGATTTTTTTACATATTCTTTTTAGGTTGATAAGCAATAATCATGTAGAACGCAACGAAAATTCTCAATGACATTACAAGAGAACAACGAAAGTTTTCCAGATTTAGGATGTGTGCGTGTTATACACACTCGATATATGGTTCTTTTGTCGAATCAATTTTGATGATAATCAGCAAAAAATAAAAAAGATTCATTCATAAAACTTCATATTAAAAATTGTTTGTTTCTGTTTGTCTTTGTTTGTTAGAGTTATCTCGGCTTCTCACTACCTAATAATTACTGTTTATGCATCCGAGCACATTGAATGAATAATTATGAAAAAGAAAATAAGACATTTATGTATTAATAAATTTAAATACTTGTTGCTAAAACAATATTTTCTTACACATATAACCAAGGTTTTGATAATATCAACAGAAAATCTAATCAACATTTGTGTCGTTATAAAACTTTTATATATTTTTTTTTGTGTTAGACTTTTGTTTTAGTTTTGTTCCATCATCAGATAGTGATTGGCATTGTGTTAGTTTAACTTGCAATATCTTCGCTACTCTTTGTGTTATATCTAAAGTATATGAAAACGGAAGACACTTGCTTAAGCTCTCCTAAAAAAAGTCAATTTTCGTGAAAAAAATGAAAATTGAGATAAGTACATAGGAATATAGTCCGAGATCTGACATATCATAAACGATATGGTTTTAATTGTTTGGCATCCCGTTTTTTTTTTCAGAAATGTTCAAGGTTCTGTTTGATTGCGTAACCCGGCATTATCTCTGGGTCTTCATTTCTTATATTAACACTTCTTTTATTTGAAAGAGTATGTCAAGATGCAGGGCATTAGAGAGTTCTTTTTTGAATTAAGCTTTGCCACTTTTATATAAAAGAGTACTTTAAGAATTAGAGTGTCATTTTTAAGAGCTTTTCGCAACATTGAACTTTTCACCTCTTTTCTGCTCTTAAAAAGTAAGCATTTAAAAAAAAAGATCTCTTTCATGTCTTTTATACTGACATGTTCTTTCAAACAAAAAAAAAGAATTTAAGTACATAGAATGAAGGTCTATAGAGAATTTCGGGTGACTAAACGAGATATTTTTGACAGTTGTTTGTTGAATATCTCCTGAAAATGTTATGGTGACTAGACTAAGACCAACTTTTGAGTAAGATGGAGGTTTAAATAATAAGATAATTTATGATGGTTATCTTTGTTAGTATGCATGCATCTAGTTTTCAACGTCAATTCAATATTCCGACTTTTTCAATGTAATACATGTAGAGCTGTTTGTTTATATCTGTTGAAATCATTAAATCTAAGCCACCATATGATCTCGTTTTGAGGAGATTATTTGATTATATCTCTTACTACTTCCTTATGTGAATATAAATAACATTGAATAAATATTTATTGTGAAAAAGAAATGAACTATTGTTAAAATGATGATGTTTATCAATCATTATCTCAAAATTACAAATGTCGATATCCCAGTAACATTTAATTATGAAATCACTATAAAACAGACTTATTATAATAATTATCGTAATACATTTCCCATAAGTCAACGGATTATTATAGCAACTATTTAAATAACCAACTTATACTGTTTGAACGAAAAAAAAACCACATTTATTTCTTTTTTTATGATTAAGAATATTTATTTTCACATATATTCAAAGAAAAAAAAAACAACTTCTCCTGAGATTGAAACATGTGTTTCTCAATATTCACTCATGTACATATTTCTATTAAAATGACAAACAAACAAACAAACAAACAAACAAACACACACAAATATTTAATGACTAAATTTAAAAAGACAAAAAGAAAGAAAGAAAATGTCAAATAATATTAATACCATCAAGTCGTTTATTAAAAAAAGTAAATATTTCATGAAATGTTGGTCTTTCACCATATGGACGCCAACATTCAAGCATTAAATCAACAAGTTCTTTACTTAAATATTCTGGTTTTGATAATTGTAAACTACCTGATGATTTCATTACATTATTTCCCATTAATTTTAATCGTTGATGAACTTGTTCATCATTTAATAAAGCATATGGTAATGTTAAACAATTTGTCATTATTTCCCAAAGTGTTATACCAAATGACCATACATCTGATTGAGAACTAAATTCATTCTAAGCACAAACAAAAAATTGAATTATTTTTAAAAAAAAATAAAAAATAAAATCTAACATTTGAAATAGTTTCTGGTGCCATCCATCGTATTGGTAAACGACAATCATTTACTTTAAAATAATGTGATTGAAAATGTATTGATGTTATAGCTGAATTCATTAATTTAATTTCATAATTTGGATAAATTAAACAATTTCTTGCAGCTATATCTCGATGAACAATATTTTCTGATTCAAGATAACGAAGTGCATTTGTTAATTGTGTTACTAAAAGAAGACGAACATTTGTTCTAAAAAAAAAACAAAAAGAAAAGAATATTTTATCAATTTTTTTTTCGTGTCTCAAAATTGCATAAGATATATTACGTAAGTGATACTTGATCATGTTGAATACATTGTCTAGTTGATAAAAATGTATAAAGATCACCTAAGTTACTATATTCAATAAGAGCGTAGTTTTGTTTAAGTGTATAACCATAAAATTGAACTAAATTAGGATGATTTAAACGATACATTAATTCATGTTCTTTATCAAATAATTCTCTAGAAAAAAAAAATTGTTTTTTTCTTAATAAAATTAAATAATTAATTATTTGTAAATTTACTTTTGAATAGAATCACTTGTTGTAAGAGCTTTAATAAGTACAGGCTTAAGTATATCACATGGATGACGAAGATAAATATAACCTCGAACAATCTATTTGAGTTTGTTTTTTTTTTTAAATAAATTTTATCCACAGAAAAAGAAAAATTTTTTATTCTTACCGTTCCAAAACATCCATCTATTGTTGAATAACGTTCTTCCATAATTAGTTGTTCATCAGGAATACGTGGCATTGTTATTTTAACACTAGAATCGTTTTTTGTTGATAATGATTGATATAAACTATTACCACATGGACCCTGAATACTTTTTATTGGGTTTTTTATATGCATTGTTTCATCAAATGTTATTGGATTTGTGTATACATCAATAGAAGCATATGGATTTGATGTCTAAATATAGAAATAAAATATATATTTAAAATTTTCAATAGAATTATAAAATAGATATTTTCTAATGAGTGGCAAATCTCAAATTGGTACTAATCTTGAAATCTATATATATCAAATTGGAAAAAGAAATCCTACGACTTTGAATTATTATCAATATAATC